TCATTTCTGTTTCATTCAGGGGATTCCCACAGCTCTCATGGACAAACAGAGTGAGAGCCAAGGGCTCTTCTTTCCCAAACGTGAACTGGTGTCACCTACAGCCACATTCCCGGGCCACCGTGGTCCCCGGCCATCGGCAGAGGGCAGAGCTGGCTGCGCTTTGAGTTTGAGCAGCAGCACTTCCCTGCTCATCCAGCGGAGGACTCCAGCCCAAGGAACATCAACAAGAATTCTTGTTAAGGGAGCAATGATTCGGTTGGTTAATTTGGAAAAGTGACTTTGCAAATTATTTCCTGAGAAGTTCTGCAGAGATTTGCGACTTTTAAAATTTGCATTTATTAATTTTTCTTACACATCTTCCCAGGAGAACAGCATATATTATATATATTACACCTGGTCCTTTAAAGCATCGTTGTTTTACTCATATCACAATTCCAGCTTAGAGTTTGTAGTTCTCTACACTCCTTTTTATGGTGGTTTACAGATTAATGGCTCTTACAGCCTCACAGGGCACAGGGTTTGTCACCCTGTGATGACAAACACCCTCTCCAAGGCTCTGTGGACCACATCTCCCAAAAATGCAGCTGTGTGCCTGTTCCAGCAGCTGATGCTCCTGCTGGTTAAAGCTTCCAGCTTTATTCTGAAGCTGCTGATGACTTGATGGGCTTTAATTAACGTGGGAGCCAGAGCTTTCAGCACTGAGGGATCTTCTCTGCAGAGTTGTGCCTGTAGTGCAGGGCTGGGTTTTGGATTGATGTTTTTGGGCTGGCAGCAACGGGGGTTGGGGTTTAGTGCTGAAGGGGGGTTCTGTGGAGCTGGGGTGTCACTGAGCCCTCAGAGGAGGATGCTGCCTCAGCTCACATCAGTTCTGGGGTGTTTCCCTAATTTCAGCAGGATCTGGGATGTGAAACCTTCCCAGCACCTCCCACCAGCTGCCTCTGCCATGCCCTCATTCATTTCCCTCTGCCCAAAACTGTGTGATGTGACACCCCGGGGTCCCCAGCCTCTCCACCAGCATTCCCCTGTTCTCCACCAGCATTCCCTGGCACTCCCTGCCTCCCACAAGGATTGAGGGGGATGGTTTGGAGGTGACTTTAATAGACAAAAAAATTGAGGCCAGTCCCAGGAATCATCAATCCCTTGTGGCTAAGCAGCACCCAGGCTTGGGGATGGGCTCCTTTGCTTTCCCACTCCAGCACACAGTGGATTCTCTGCTTCACTGCCATTTCCATAGCAGTCAGCCTGGTTAGGGGAAGGCAGAGCCTGAGCTTGGGGCAGGGAGTGGATGTAGGGTACTGAGGGAGGTTTTGTCTCAAAACCACCTTGCAGGGCACCCCAAATCCTCTTTTGCTGGTGCCACGCTGTGTGCATTGTCACTGGCATCCATCCCATTTCCCATCACTCCAGGAGCCTTCCTGGGCTGTGGGGTGGGAATTGAGTGTGCCTTTACTAGCAGGCAAGTGCCAGTCTCTGAGTTCTTCTGTCCCCAGGGAAAACCCTGGCTGGACCTTCCAATCTTGCTGCAGTTGAGGCCAACAAAAATCAGGAGGTTTTGGAGCTGGAGATCAAATCTCAAAGCAATTATTTTACAGCATAAAGTAAAATTTTAAAACTATATTTTTCTCTTGTATTGATTATATAGTTTTTCCTTTGCTTACATTTGTATCTTACAAGAATTGGAAGTTTTCAGTTTTTCTAAGCTTGTGCTTCATGACCTTGCAGGAACTCCTCAGAGAGAACCAGCTGAGGTCTTTCTGATCTGCACTGCCTGTCTTTAATAGCAATAATTCCTGGGAAGAGGTTGTCTGTCTGCTCTCCACGTGGCTGGGGCTGTCCCAGGGGAAAGGAGCGTGTCTGGAAAGGGGGAGCAAGCACAGCTCCATGGATGCAGCTCCCAGCACCTGCAGGGCTCACGTGGAGCCAGGGATGCAGCCGCGCTGCTGACACCAGGCTGAGGGCTAAAACTGCCGGGTTTCCCTGCCCTGTGTGCCTGCAGCAGGGAATTCTCTTGAAAAACCAAAAAATCCCTGCAAAAGGAGCAGGGCCGGGCGATGGCGTGGCAGAGTCTGCCGGGAAGGATGTGCTGGCTGTGCCGGGATGAGGCTTTGGCTGCTCCCTGGAATGCCGAGCGCCCTCCCAGTGCTGAACCCTGCCATGGCATCCACGCAGAATTCCCAAATCCTCTCCCCCGTGCCCCGAACAGGACCCTGGAGCATGGGAGGGGTGATGGACACACCTGGGGCTGTCACACGGTGCTGTCCCACCACACCCCAAACTTGGGCTTTGCAGGGTGTTGCTGGCTGAGCACACGAATCGAAGAATTGGATTTGGGTCTGATGAAATCATGGCTGTCTGTAAAACAGCTCCCTGGCTTGGAGAACCACTCCCTGGCTCGCCTGGGTTTGAAGCAGCAAAATTCTCCTTGAGTGTGTTGGAGCTGTACTCGGGGTTGGAGCTGTTGGTGTTTGTTCCCTTGCCAGGGACAGCACTTCCCCTCTCCAGCACGAGGTGGGTGGGTGGAGAAGCTGCCCCTTGCCAGCAGTGGTGCCAAAAGTCAGGAGAGGTTCGATTGTGAGGGCTCCACAGAGGCTGAGTGGTTTTCCAGAGGCAAAGTCACTTTGGGGCTGGGCTGGGAGCATGTGGTCATGGAGGGAGGATAAAGGTATTTTTAGCTAGGAGAAAAGCAGCTCCCCTCCCTCCCTGTGGGGCCCTAAAAAGTGCTGTGCAAGGGACAGCTTGGATACTCCCAAGTACTGCATAATTTTAGGGATATGTAAGTGTAGGTTTTGATGGGATTTTGGGAAAAAATTCCTCCCTGTGAGGTCACTCCCAACCCAAACCATTCCATGATGTACCTACAACTGATAAAGCAGGAGCCTGGCAGGCATTGGAAGAGCAGGAAGCACCAGTTTGTACTGGAAAAGGATGTTCCTTCAGGGACTGTTTCACAGAAAACCCAGCAAAATCTCTGCTACCCAGCGTGTCCACCCTGCAAGGGATTTTTCTGCTGCTTGAGGCAGGCACAGCCTGAGGGAGGGTCTGCTCTTAAATCTCCATGTGACATTAGGGAGAGTTTTGGGTTTGCTCTTTCCTGTTCTCTGTTTGGAAGGGGCAAGCTGTGTTGCAGAAATGTCAGAAAAGCAATCTGAAAACAAACTGGCAAAGTCCCAGTGGGAACTGGAGCTCCTGGGAAACCTGGAGCTGGTGCTGCCAGTAAAGTTGGAGCCACAATCCAGGATCTGCTGTTGCTCAGGGCAGGCTTATAAATGACCTGTCCATGGTCATTCAGGGCCACCTGGATGTCCAGCCCAGCTCCTCAGGGTTGTGCCATTCCCAAAACACCCGGGAAAGCCACAGTGCTGGTGAGGATCCTGCTGGTGTGGCTTGTCCTGTCTGTGGGAGCTGCCCTGAGCCAGTCCCGGCATCGGTGAGGTTTTATTGGATTTCCTGTTTTGCCTCCACACTCTGCTGGGTTTGGGCCATCTGAAACAACATTTTTCCAGCCCTGAAAGCTCTTTTTTTCCCCCCCAAGCAAACAAGGAAAACATGGCCTTTTGTTATTTATGTTTTTTGTGAGAGGAGGAGGAGATTTGGGACAGAATGAGCCCCGGGGCAGCGGCTTTGCTGCCTGTTCCTGGAGTTTTCTGCCTGTCTCTGGCACACTTTAAGTACCAAAGCAAATTCTTCCAGTTTGTCTGGATCTCCCATTTGGTCTCCCCCATCCAGCCTCAGCACCCATTCTGTGCTTCCCAGAAATGCTGCATGGGGTGGAAATGTGCATCCAATCATAGGAAAAGCTGTTTTCTATTGAACCCTCTCTGCCTACGTTTACTTAAAAAATACTTGAGGGTTTTCAGGGAGGAGGAGACCTCAGAACCCCTGCACTGGCCACTCTTCAAGGCTTCTCCAAGCCCCAGACTTGGGTGTCCCCCCCAGATTGTGCACTGCTCTGAGAGGAGATGTGGAGCATAATGAGAACATTTCCAAGCACTTAAAATAATACTCCTGAAGCTCGAATACACATTGGGATCATTTTATTTCTCAGAGTTTGAAGCTTTCAGGGTGTACTGGAGTAACTTTTGTAAATTTTCTCAGTACCCACTGAAGGTTGGGATGGTTTTTGGTGTTCAAAGCAAAACTGAAAGTTTGGATAACATCTTCATGTGCAACCACACACGTCAGCAACATGACAAATAACACAAGACTCCCAAGAACAACACAAGAGACACCAATGACATGTCCCTGTTTTTGCAGCTCACACCAGAGCTCTGTGAGTTCATGTGCCCTGTGAGGTGTCACATCTCCCTCTTTGCTTGTGGCATATCTATCATAATTTGTCTTCCAGATATTGATTCCCCATAATTAACCAAGCACCTGCCGCTCCCAGGAGCCAGGTGGATCCTTCTGCGCAGCTCTGGGTGCCTTTTCCAGCAGCATGAGCTGAGCCCAGTTTGTTGAGCCCTCTCTTATAACACTGATGTAATATAGGTTAATACTCTGCTTGGTTGCAGTCCAGATTAGGCTGCATTGGACCCAGGTGATGGATTTTTGTAGTGGAAAATGTTCAGTTTACGTGGAGATAATGAACTGTCCTGATCCAGAGCCCTGTGTGAGCATGGTGGATGCTCCAGGTGATGGTGGCTGTAGGTACCCAGGATCAGGGCTGAAATCCCCAGAGCTGTGCCAAGGCTGAGCCTCTCACTCATAGCTCAGGGTTCAGAAGGATTCCCAAAATGGCAAATCTGCAGAAGCACTGAAACACCTGAAATGAGGCACCTGAACCCACTGCAGTTCAGCCATTGGCATCAACAATGGCTTTTGAGGGGATGGAAGCCAACGGTCCCCAGCAGCAACAGCACAACCAGCAAATCTTTTGGCACCACCACATCCTCATGGATCAGGTCCTGCCATCTGTGGCACACAGGGACAATTCCAGACGGATCTGGACAGCAGAGCAGTCCTCACTGCAGCTCTGAGAAGCCCCTGCATGGACAGGGCTCTCACGAGATGGACTCCAGCAGCAGCTCATCGGGCGGCACAGTGGGGATGTCCATGCTGTTTATTTGGCCAAAGAACTTGGGAAGAGACCAGAACTTGAGGCGGGGGAGATTCCTCTTCCTGACGCGAATGTCGTGGGCGGTGTCGGTGCCGGAGGCGCTGCTGCGGCGGGGCGGGAGCCGCGTCCTCAGGGCCACGCAGCCGTGGCGCAGCAGCTGCGCCTGGAACTCGGAGGTCATGAAGTAGTAGAGGACGGGGTCCAGGCAGCAGTTGAGGCTGGCCAGGCACAGGGAGATGGGGTGGAAGCGCAGCGTGCTCCGGTGCAGGGCGCAGTCCCGGATGACGTTCTCGATCACCATCATGAAGAAGGGGAAGTTGATGTGGTAGGGGGTGAAGCAGATGAAGAAGACGGCGGCACACATGAGGACCATCCTCAGGGCCTTCCGCTTCTCTCCGGCATCCTGCAGCGCCGTGGGGCCCTCCCGCAGGGAATGCCACATCCTCCACGTGCACCAGGCGATGGTGCCGAAGGGGATGATGAAGCCAAACAGCTCCGCCACCGTCACCAGCGCGATGGCGGCCCCGGGGCTGAGCTGCTTCACACCCAGGTCCGAGAAGCAGCTGTTGATGGAGTTGGACAGGGCTGGGCTCCTGACGATGATGAGGGGCAGGCAGGCAGCCCCCACCAAGAGCCAGACCAGGGCGCTGATGGCCATGTCGTAGCGGCGCTTCCAGCCCTTGGCTCGGAAGGGGTGCAGCAGGAACAGGTACCGCTGGATGCTGATGCAGCTGAGGAAGCAGATGCTGGCGTACATGTTGAGGTACTTCAGGTAGAAGCACACCTGGCACAGGAAGCTCCCGAAGGGCCAGGTGTGGTTGATGTAGTAGTAGGTGCGCAGGGGCAGCGAGAGGACGTGGGCCAGGTCGGCCACGGCCAGGTTGATCATGAAGATGACGGCTTTGCTCTTCCTGCTGAGGAACCGGCACAGGACCCACAGGGCAGCGCTGTTGGCCAGGAGCCCTGGGATGAAGATGAGGGTGTAGGTGGTGGCATAGAGGGTGGACTGGAAGGACATCTGGGGGTCGGAACAGTTCCTGGAGGACACGTTAGTCTCCATCCTGGCCGGGTCTCTTCACTCATGGGGTGGTCACAGCAGAGGAAGGGGTCCTGGAGTGGGTAAAAAGATGCTGTAAAGCCAAAATCTCTCCATGGAGTGAGTGTGCTTTAGGACAGAAGAGTCAATTGTGTGCAAGTCAGTGTGTGTGTGGGGAAGGGTGACCCCACTCCCAGGGAGCGATTCCAGGCATCCTCCACCCTCTCCCTGCAGAGGTGCTCTGCGGGATCTCGTGAGATGCCCCAATTACAGTGAATACCCTGAGCTCTGTAACATCCATCTCTTGATTGCCAGAGAGCTTCTGCAGCTCCCAGGGTTTTCCAGAACCACTTTTATTTTATCAAGTTTCCCATCACACTCTGTCAAATTGGTGCTCTACATCTACAAGCAATTTCAGCTGGACTGTAAATAAATAGGGATTTGAAATGGATTTAGACACTGTCTTTGCAGATCCGTGCAGGGATCTAATGTGAATCAGCAGCAAAGGCAATAATTAACATCCCCAGGCAACTGAGGCCAGGGGAGAGCTGCAGACAGATCCATCAGCTCTGGCTCCAGAGTTAAGGCTGGATTTATAAGTTAATAACTGGCCGAACACACGCCAGTTGTTCTGCTGGCCCTGCTAACTCAATTCCGGCACTCCCGGCACATTGTGCAGGCATTGTGCTGGAGCAGCAGGAATTATCCCTCAGCAGCAGGAATTATCCTTCAGCAACTGCTCAGGACATGCAGGGAGATAAATACAACTCCTTTCTAGTTAAAGTAGGAATTCTTCTCCTCCGTTTAGCCATGCCAGCTCACCCAGTGCTCAGGGGATTTATTAGGGGGTCATGGGGAGTTCAGGTGCTCCTGCTGCTCTCTGGAGAGGTGATAGATTTTTGCCATTCATGAGCAGATCCCATGGGAAAGAATCTGTTCTTTTGGGAAGAGGGGATTTGTCAGCATCAGGATACAAACCCACGGGTGGCAGCGTCATCTGTAACAAACAGTGGCATTTTCCCCTTGGAAATGGAGCCCATGAGAGGTGGGCAGCCTGCCCTGCCCTTCCCTGCCCGGAGCTGGGGCTGGCAGAGCCCTCAGCACCTCCTGTCACTGTCACCCAACACCTCATCAGCAGTAATTAATTAAGAAGTAGCCACAGTGCTGTTTCCCAAAGCCTGGTGTTTGTCACAGGGATGGACTTCCAGGAGCAAATCCATCCCAATGGTTCAAGTTACAGGATGAAGTCTCCTCCATCCTGCTCTTCCTCACCTGGCCAGCTCTTTGGTGGGGTTACCATGTTTTCAGGATCAGGAGGAAATCATAATTTTAGATATTTCATATTTTTATATGCAGATAAATATCTAAAATACAGCCCTGGTCTCTTGGCTGGCTGCCCCCCAGCCTCACCTCTGATGTCAGCAGGGCCAGTGCTCCCACCCTGCTTTCCAAACTGAGCCTTTCCCAATCTGCCTTCCTGCTTGTCCTTGTTTTTCCAGTGGAATTGGGGCTGCTGAGTGAGGGCACCTCTCAGTTGCCGACTGTGCCAGAGGTTTGTGATTGCTCCACTGAGTTGGGAAAGGCAGGGGAGAGTGGAAATCTGTGCTGAGGGAATACTGGGAAACAGCTCCTGTGTCACAGGATCCCTGTGCTCCTCACCTGCCCAAAAATCCATCAGGGACTTGTGCCCTTTGCACTCAGTCTGTTTAAGCCAGGGAAAGGGGTGGCAGGAGTTGTCTTCACATCCCTGCAGAAAATAGAGAGGGGAAACTGCCAGGGAGCGTGGGGATGCAGCTGTCCCCAGCTCCTGGCACAGCTGTCCAGTGACAGAGATGGCACTTGGTGTGGGCTCATGGAAGGGGTCGCAGAGCCCCCGGTGTCCCTGCCACACAACTCAGCCCAAATCCTTCACCTCCTCCATGGGGAGCCTCCCTGCTGCTTTTCTCCACGATTTTCACTGTTCCTGGGAGCACAGGAGTGCCTGTTCCTGGTGGGAGGGCTGGCTGGCACTCCTGGTACCCGACACGGCTTTGGAGGGCACTGGCAGGAAAGCAGCAGAGATCCCCACCCTGGGCGGGGGTCAGGCCAGGCTTGTTCACTACAACAATTCCTGGGAAGGTGGAGTTGTACATTTTTTATTGTTTTCCAGTTTTCCCTTTGCCCCATGTCCCTCCAGCTTCCCCCTGCCTTGCTGGGGGTGTCAGGACAGAGATGCTCTGTCTGGAGTTTGGTTCAGTGCCTTTATAAATCTTCTATAAAATATTCCTGACGTTCTTTGATTATTTTCCCATTTCATCCATGCATGGATTTAAACACAGGCAGGAGCAGGGAGTGGTTTTTTTGGCAAGGCTGAGTTTTAATCAGCTGAAATTCCACGAGGGAGCCCAATATCAGTGCCCGAAGAGCCAGAGCACCGACTGTGGATGCAGCCCCGCCATTCATTAAACATCAAATAACTGCAATTAATTAGGAGGCCAAGGCAGCTCTCAGAGCACCCGGGGCTGATTTTTGGAGTGTTCCTGGAGGCGAATGTGGCTGGAAACCGCCCGGCTCCTGTGAATCAGCCCGGGCCCCACCCAGCCCCACACCACCGGGGTGTTCCTGCATTTGCTGCTCCCGATCCATTGGCAAACTCGCCCTCATCTTTTCCATGGGCTGCTCGGACAGCCCAGGCTAAAGCTGAACTCCAGGCATGGCTGGGGAGAGCCCTCCGAGCTGGGGGATGGGGGCAGAGCTGCCTCCCTTCAGTGCTGGGATGCTGGAGGGAAAAGCAGGCTTGGGAAAAAAAAAAATTAAAATAATAATAAATCCACTTATGGCTTAAAATGAGGTCTTGGTTTAAGTAGTGGAGTTTTCTGGCTCTGGGGTTGTAAGCAATGATTTTGTTTGTTTAATCTAGACACTAATAGGAAATGCGTAAATAGAGCTGGTCGCTGATGGCAGCCTCTGTCAGTAAGGACAAAATTGAGGGTTTTTTTGGCTAAAACAGCCTCTCCCCATGTCCTCCCCCACACCACAGCCTGTCCCAGGCACCGACTCCCTTCACCCACCCTCGGAGACCAATTTGTGGGCACAGCAGAAGTGGCTGAGAATGTTGCACCAGCTGCTGCCCGATAACCATCTCTTGAAGAACTGCAAAGAAATGATAAAGTTGCTGAAACTGCGCCGGTTTCAGTCTTCTGAAGAAAAGAGCAGAAATGCCACTCACCTTGCCGTGCTTCCCATGCTCCGGGGGGGTCATAGCCGTGCTAGGGAGCAGGAGCAGCCGGCGTCCTGCTTTTATTTCCCACTGCTTTTCTCAGCAATCCCAGCGCCTCCTCGTTCAACTTCCACATGGTTTCGGAGCGCTGGAATCTTGCCGGCATCTGCAGCCCGGTCCGGTGGCTGCAGAACAGGAAATCCTGTATTTTGTTTCTCCTCTCCACACCAAATGTGTGCAGTTAATGACGTTAAAGCCGCTGGGAAGGCGATGACGTCGTTTGGTGGCAGTGCCCTGGGATGGACATCACGGATTTCTGTCGCCGCTGGGCACAGGGGCTGTGGGAGGGGATGGTGCCCTTCCCTCCGGCTGCTCCCGCTCCTCTCCACGGTCACTTTGCCCGGGAGGAGCTGTAAAATACAGGAGCAGCCTGAAGGAAAACCGAGCACTCTGCCAGTGTAAGTTACTGGAAGGGAGTAATTTTCCCTCATTTTCTTGGAAGCTTGGTTAGCCTCAGACTATCAAGGCTGCAGACTAAAGCTGGAGGGTTTGGACTTTATTCCTGACATAATGTGATGGTTTAAGGTGGAGATTTCCCTAAAAATACTGTTGTTTAAAAACCCCATAATGTGCATCATTCCCAATCTTTTTCTTTAATTCCTTTAATTCCCTTCCTATAGATATATGCACATATAGAGCATTTTAAGCTGGTTTTCTGCCTGCTGAGCATGACTTCTTTTCTGCATGGCCAAAGAAGTGATGTAACTTTATGGTGTGACTTCTGAGCTGCCTCTTTTCCAGCTGAGCAGTTTTACTTGATATCCAGGGTCACAGCTCACAGCCCAGGGCTTGTACAGATAATTTGGCCATCGGCAACTTTCCCTTCCTGGAGGTAACTTAAAAATAGAAATATTCCTACCCTATTTTTTGTGAATGGTTCTGTAACCTCACAAAATTAATGTGAACAGAACTGTGGAAGAGAAATGAAAGGAGGAAGATCTTACAAACTTATTAGCAGCTCAGGGGCTGGGGTCAGGAGTGCACCAGAGCTGTGCCACTCACTCAGCTGCCAGGTCTCCTTGTGCCCAGAAATCACAGAATCTGAGAGTGATTTGGATTGGGGACCTTAAAGACTCTCTGATTCCAACATCCCGGCCATGGGCAGGGACACCTCCCACTATCCCAGGTTGTTCCAAGCCCTGTCCAGCCTTGGACACTTCCAGGGATGGGGCAGCCCCAGCTTCTCTGGGCACCCTAAATCCCCATGGTTCTTATCTCAGAGGATTTGGGAGATGCAAGAACTGTTTGTCATTCCCAGTTTTCTTCCTGTGCATCTCTTCCAGCAGCTGGTGCTGATCCTGGGAAGAAGGAGCAGCCCTCGTGTGTTTGTGCAGTGTTCAGAGAGCACAGAAGGGAGGCTGGCACTGTGCCCTGTCCCTCTCCAGAGGGCAGAGGTTAATCCCAAAGTGAAGGAGCTGTTTTATCAGGATATCCTGCCTGGGACATCCTATTTCTGTGTCTGCAGCAGCATATCCAGCCATCCCTGAGCCCTATTTTTAGGTGTTTGTTTCCAGCTGTGCTGCTGGGGAGGGAGAGATCAGTGGATGTCAGACCCAAGCAAGGGCTTTGTAACCAAGCTGAGCCCTTCCTCTGCTCCTTGGCAGATTTTGGAGAGCTTTTGCAGAGGATCACAACATTCCTGGCCATGAAAAGCTGAGGGACTGACAAACCTCAGTCCTCATCCTTCCACACACATGGATCAACCTCTCCATTCTTCTTTCAACTTGAGCATGTTTTTGTTTAGCATTTCTGTTTCTCTGGCTCA